TCAGTCAGAATTCCCACCTGGTGAAACACCAGAGGACTCACACAGGAGAGAAACCCTATGAGTGTCCAGAGTGTGGGAAACGTTTCAGTGAGAATTACCACCTGGTGACACACCAGAGGACTCACACTGGAGAGAAGCCATATGAGTGTCCGGAGTGTGGGAAAAGTTTCAGTCAGAAATACAACCTGGTGACACACCAGAGGACTCACACAGGAGAGAAACCCTATGAGTGTCCAGAGTGTGGGAAAGATTTCTCTTCGAAATCTGTCCTGGTAAACCATCAAAGTACTCACACAGGAGAGATACCATATAAATGTCATTGTGGGAAACGTTTTAGTAGGAATTACTACCTAATGAACCATCAAAGGACTCACACAGGAGAGAAACCATATAAATGTCATTGTGGGGAAAGTTTCAGACAGAATTCCCACCTGGTGACACACCATAGGACTCACACAGGAGAGAAGCCATATGAGTGTCCGGAGTGTGGGAAACGTTTCAGTCAGAGATACACCCTGGTGACACACCATAGGACTCACACAGGAGAGAAACCATATAAATGTCATTGTGGGAAAAGTTTTAGTCAGAATTCCTATCTGGTGAAACATCAGAGGACTCACACAGAAGAGAAGCCATATGAGTGTCCGGAGTGTGGGAAAAGTTTCAGTCAGAAATACACCCTGGTGACACACCAGAGGACTCACACAGGAGAGAAGCCCTATGAGTGTTCAGAGTGTGGGAAAGATTTCTCTTTGAAATCTGCCCTGGTGAACCATCAAAGGACTCACACAGGAGAGAAACCATATAAATGTCATTGTGGGAAAAGTTTTAGTAAGAATTACTACCTGGTGAACCATCAAAGGACTCACACAGGAGAGAAACCATATAAATGTCATTGTGGGAAAAGTTTTAGTCAGAATTCCTATCTGGTGAACCATCAAAGGACTCACACAGGAGAGAAACCATATAAATGTCGTCATTGTGCGAAAAGTTTCAGTCAGAAAATCAACCTAGTGACACACCAGAGGACTCACACAGGAGAGAAGCCATATGAGTGTCCAGAGTGTGGGAAAAGTTTCTCTTCGAAATCTGCCCTGGTGAACCATCAGAGGACTCACACAGGAGAGAAACCCTATGAGTGTCCAGATTGTGGGAAAGATTTCTCTTGGAAATTTTCCCTGGTTACACATCAGAGGACTCACACAGAAGAGAAACCATGAGTGCCCAGATTGTGGGAGAGATTTCAGTAGTAGGTATAAACTTTTAAATCATGTAAAGTTACACATAGCAGAGTAACCGTTCAAATGCCCAGATTATGGACAGTGTGTTGTAATAAATTCCTCTCTTATTACAGAAAAAATTCCACATGAGGAAAAATTTGATCTTGAATTTTGTTTCTTGTCACTTACTGGAAGCCTAGCTGCGAAATTATTAATTTCTTGCATGATTCTTTTTAGTCAAGCGTGTTTTATTAAACATGAGGGAAGAAATCTGAGCTTCCTCTGTCTGGCCTAGTGCATTCGTTCCCTTTCATGGAGTCATGGTGAACTGTTGTGCTGGGCCAGAGAAAGCGAGCTTAGATCTGTATTAGGTATCTTTGCCACCTTGAGTTATTTCTACATATAATAAGCGCAGGATATGTATCTTTGTTAAGAAAATGTATGTGGCACCCCAACTCAAGGTGATTCCACCCGATTTACAGCAATAAAACCTGAATACAGAAACCAATAGACCCCATACATTGCAAATGGCAAAATGCAAAGCCCCCACG